CTTGTGCATTGTTTTGTTGCCCGTTTCTCGCCAAGCACCTGTCGTCGTTTAACCCAGCATCTGGCAATTTAGCCCCAGACAGCCGCTCGCCCCCCCATCCTCTTACTCCAGCAGGACAGGGAGGAGAAATGGACAAAAGTGGAAACTCGTGGGTTGAGATAAAGACAGTTTAATATGACAACAAAGGAAATACTAATAATAATGATATTCATGAATATTCAAAACAAACTGTATACAATACAATTTTCTCACCACCTGATGACGAGTTCACACCCAGTCCCTGAGCAGTGATCACAGAATGCCAAACTTGTGTATTTTGCAAATTTCGCAAAACTCCTGAAAAAGACCGAACTCACGGAAAACTTCAAACTCCTGGACAAGAAAGGATTCGAACTTGCGGAAAGGAGAAGAGCAGATTCCTTCCTCCCCTTGGCCAAGCCTCCGTTTACAAACTGAGCATGATGGCTATGGTATGGAATATTTCCATGGGCCAGGTTGGGCTCGCTGCCTGGCTGTGCTCCCTCCCAGCTCCTGCACAACTGCTCGTGAGCTGAACACCTGAGACTGAAAAAAGTCCTTGACTTCATAGCAACAACTGAAAACATCAGTGTTATCAACATTCTTCTCCTACTAAATCAAAAACACAGCAGCTACTGGGAGGAAAATTAACTCTATCCCAGCTGAAACCAGGACAACACCAATAAATTTTCTTCCAGTAAATTGTCTTTGCAATGAAGCATGTGGCCTGCATGCATGTTTACTTTGTATGTTTCCACTGTTTATTTAAAAAGCATAATATTTTTTTGTGACAAAAGGTCTTGCCTGTGCCTAACCTTAAATGTATATATATAAATATGGGTATATCACGGAATGTAAATATTTAAGTGCTATGCAAAAATTATTTGCAGACAACTTTCTGTTGACTGCAACAAACCAGAATTAGTCAATACCGCGGAAAAGCATCACACTGTTGGGATGTGGTTGTTTTTAATCAGATACAAGTCTGTAGCACTCCAGCTGAATAAGCAGCATTTCCAGTACAGTAAGTGTGAGACGGATTTGGTATGTTCCAAGGTGCCGGAGTCACTTTCAGGCTGAGAGAAGCATCAGTCAAGTGATGCACACATCGCCATAAAATAGGGTTACCAAATGCATAGGAAGCATAGCAGGCCTTTTGTTAATAAAAATCAGTTAACAATTGGAATTTACAAAGGGATTTTTTCCCCCCCAAGACTGCCACAGCAGTAACAAAGTGAACTGTTGCAATTGCAGGAGGGGTGGAGTGATCTAGGATAGTTTGCTAGTTTATCAGAAGTAATAGTAATACTGCTTAGGAGGGATCGGGCACCAAATTCAATGGAATTTCCATATAGTTTTTCAATTTGAATGAAATTGGATGTATTCGTGGCAATAACAACATATGAGGGGTCGCTGTGACAGTCTTTTCTAAAGCTTTGTCCCTAAACTCACTGCTAGGTAGACCATTTTCTTCTTCAGCTTCCTGAAATGTAACTGTATTTTATCAGTAGACAGCAAGTCAGAAGCAGTTTCCTAGAAGAGCATATTGTTTCCTAACCAGGAGTCGTCTACTAATAAACTGCTCATGTTTTCCTCCAGTGAAAAACTTGGCCAATGATACTTCAAGCAAGGCAAGAAGGCAAGGGGAAAAATCCTTAGAAAATTCACACCCCATGTTCTGTTTTTAAAGAAAAGAACATACAGCAAGGTAGATTATCCTGCTACTCCTCTGCACTGTGGTGTCAAAAACCACAGGATGAGTCACTGCCTTGTGCTGTGGAGGTAGCGCTGCTTGGCCAGCCCTGGGCCTGTGGGCATTCTGATGTACTGCTTTTTGCACACGAGAAACCCATATGCCCCGATCACACACAGACAAGTAAGGTTGCTCTTAAAATACAGACGTGACAAAATAGTTGTTGAGTTGCAATCTCTGATCCTTAAAAACAGCCAGTAAAGTTAAACTGTACTTTCATGCAGCCAAGTGTTAAAAGCGCTCAAATTTGTCCATAGTGCTCTCATCTGAGCAACACTGGAGCTGTTGCTGGAGATGGCATTTCACACGGGACTCCAATTCAGTGAGCTGAAGTATGTAGCAAGCAGTTCCTTTTTACGTATACTGCTCAAGCTATTCAAGGACAGTGGGTTATAGCTTCAAAGATGTAAAAATCAAAAAGCGTATTTGGCCAGACATGACATGCTTTACCTGCCTCTAACATATTTTTAAATAATGAGTACTGAAAGTTGATGATATAGTATCAAATGCATCTGGTCTATTTTATTCATTGTGTTGTCTGCGCAAGAAAGCACTAAAGATGTCAGTGCTACGCCACCAACCTCTCCAGAATGTTGTGTGGTTCTTATTTTGGTTTTGATGTACAGTTGTAGTTTTCCCCTAAAATGTTCTCTGGATTCTCTGGAGAATTAAATGGTTTATTAGATGTAACAATGAAAAGGGAAGTGACATCTAAATATAGCAAAAGTAGGGCTGAAGTTTTTGTCTGCGAAACAGGTCAAAGCAAAAGCAGGCTTCCAGAAACTCCTGAAGTCACCTGTG